AAAAAGGCAATAGAGCAAAAGCGCAGCAAGCGCAAAAGAGCGGAAGTGGTGAAAGAGCCAAAAGCGCAAAAGCCCTACTTTCCAGCTGACCCTCACTTTTATACTGGGCATGACGCTGCATGATATGGAATACTAACTGGCCAGTTTGGCCCTCAGTCTTAAGTTCCACCACAAATCACAAGGGGAATCGTGGCCCCCTTGTCCCGCCGTGCTTCTGCACTCCGGCACACTGAAAAGTCCTTGGAGTCTCACGTCCAACCACAAACATCAACTTGCTATCAGCATTCTTCTCAGAGCGAGCCTCTGAGTAAAACCAAAACACGGAGCTCTTCTAGCTGCTAAAAAGAAGAGCTAACTCTGTCCCAGCTAAAACCAGGACATAAAGGGACAAAAAAACCCCATAAAAATCTTGCTTACTCCTGTCACATTCATCATTCGGCCAAGATCACTTAAGAAATTGACAACTTGATCTCCAGAAACATGAAGGACTGGGAGCCTTCCTCCTATAGAAATTCCTCCATATCTAATAAAGAGAACAGTATAATTAGTTGCTTGTACCACAGCCCCAAAAATCCGTACATTGATGGAAATACTAAAAATCCATTTAATGTAAGTTTGATTCCTATACATAATATAATTCATGTGTGACAATCTCCACTCTTTATCTAACAAGTTGTACTAGGTCTTTATAGGGCTTACAAATAATAGAAGTTCTAGCAGTTTCTGAGAGGTTCATGCAGGATCCTGAGAAAATTATTATTTAGGTGGAAGATTTGGAGAAAACAGTTATTTCTACAGTGCGAAATCTTTAAATCAAGATAATTGACATATAAGTGTTTGGACGGCATGGAGGACTGAGGATAGCATGGATCTCAATTAAAATTTCAGTTGCCCTGTGAGGAGCAGGTATTCACCAATGCTGGTGCCAGCCAGTACTCCATAATGACAAACACTGTTGCATGAGATGAACCAAAGTCTAACCCTGTAGAAAGTAATGTTTGCACATGAACAAGCAAATATTCCTTGAAGTAAGCCAGTCATCCAGCTGCTACTTTTGAAGTGAATTCTTACTGCTGATGAAAAATTAAGTAAGTATGTTCTTCAGCCTAATCAGTCATCTTTCTAAGCTCAGTATCTGCAGTGTAGACATCACACTGGGGTTAGCTGATGCCTCCATATAAGCGTAGAGCACTAGTGGAATGTGTTTTATAACTACTGCACATGTTCAGAGCAGGGATGAGGAGTTGCAGTTGTTACTTCTGTATTTCATAGGCTGGTGTCTAACTTTCATCTTACCTAAGTCATTTTTTTTGGAGGGTTTCTATTTTTCTGCTGCACTTTTGAAAGAGCTGTGTCAGAGCAATATTGCAATGTAGTGCAGTATTGTATTGTAAGTTTCCATCACTCAGATCCCATTAGTCTGACTCTTGTAGACAATAAAACTGTGATAGTTCCATTGTGTGCCTCTGGCCTTCATTCTTGTGGGGATAGTTCAAACAGATATAACCCTTGTCTTTATAAAACCCTTGCTGACCCCCAACGTATTTCCCACTGAAGCCATCTCTTTGTTCTATACTATCTGCCACAGTTCCCCTTGGTCATTCAGAGAAACATTGTGAGGCTCCACTGTGAAACAGAAATTCATTGTTCCTTTATTTACCACCATAATCTGTGAATTGGTTTCTTACCTTTGCTCATTGACCCAGTATTTGCTCTTCAAGCTGAAACAGACAAAGAGAATCCTGTCTCTCAATGCACTGAACCAAAGTCAATGGTATTGTCAGGCTTAAATGGAAATTAAAGGTGAATTCCTATGCTTTGTAGATCTCCAGTTTCCCCTAGACAGCTTTTTTTT